TTTAATGGATCAGATTACATTTTTTTTATTTCTCTCCGATATCCGATCCAGTAATTTAGGTCAGTATCGGACCGATACGTAATATCGGATCGGTCCATCTCTAGTAAGAAGTACCACAAAAAGTAAGTTTTAAAATTAAGGAGAAAACCCCCCAAAAGAGCCTTGATTCCTCTTTGCCACAGCAGGAATCTTCAGTGCCTTAGCTCATTTTAAAGTAACAGATGAGAATTAACAGATGTCCCTCTTATGTTTGTCTCAGGTGGACCTGGGTGGTGGACTGAAGCCTCCCGGTTACTATGTGCAGCGTTCCTGTGGTCTATTTCCAGCTCCGTTCCCTCAGGATAGCGAGGAACTGGAGCGAATCACCAAACTCTTCTACTTCCTGGGCATCTTCTTGGCCAAGTGCATTCAGGACAACCGGCTGGTCGACCTACCAATATCACAGCCCTTCTTTAAGCTGCTCTGCATGGGGGACATCAAGTCTAACATGAGCAAGCTGCTATACCAGTCTCGAAGCTCACCGCAGGGTAACGACCCTGAGCGGCCCCACCTGCAGCCCTTCCTGCTACTGTCTGAGGTACAGTCTGAAGCATCGACTGAGGAAAGCCAGGAGACTTACTCAGTGGGCAGCTTTGATGAGGATTCCAAATCTGAGTTCATCATGGACCCACCAAAACCAAAACCTCCAGCTTGGTACCACGGTATCCTGACCTGGGACGACTTCCAGCTTATCAACCCACACAGGTCTCGAGACAGTTTTTAATGTTTAGCGTTCTCACAGTCAGCCTGAAAGCTCATGTTTTACCCAAGCAGGTCACCCTCTAGCTCACTGCTGAACCTGAACACATCCCGTGACATGTAGTACTGCTGAAGTTAAGTTCTAAGAAAACCATGAAATATAAGATGTGAGTTTTGGTCATTTTGAAACTTCTTGAAATCTGAGCAGCCTTAATTTTAAAGCACTAACAACAGAAACTTGGAAAGTGTCTGCCAACACTAAAAGGCTTGTGTTATCATCTGCACAAGCTGATGTGGTTTAACAACATTTGGTTCAATTTTGTTAAAGTGAAGCATGACTGAAACCTCATTCAGACAGAATTAACATGCAAAGTTAAGGAAGCAGAGCATAAAAAGAATATGTATTTTAAACTTGTGAAATTCTAGGATCTGTTCTGGTCTGCAGCAGAAACACAAATGGGGAGAGAGACGCACTAAATGAGTAGGAAATGATAAAGTCAGAGAGAAAGCAGGTCAACAATAGAATAACTACACTACAGCAGACTCATGATGCCCTTTTCCTCTCGCTCCTCTTCCTGCCTCCTCCAGGGCGAGTTTCCTGAAGGAAGTGAAGGATCTGGCAGTGAAGAGGAGGCAGATTCTGGCCAGTAAGAGTTTGTCTGAGGATGAGAAGAACACTAGGCTGCAGGACCTGATGCTGAAGAACCCGCTGGGCTCTGGACCTCCCCTCAGTGTCGAGGACCTCGGGTAAGAAAAGACGCATACAAAGGTGCTGAAGGTGTTACTCTTGTGGTAACGCGATCTGCATCTTTAGTGTTTGCTTAGAAGGGCTAGAGGTTAGTAAAGACCAAGACCAAGAGGACCGTGATAATAGCTGCTTTTTACTGTTACGCCTATAGTCCTTTTGGGGATACCAGACTGTAGATATAGTTTTTAATGCTCTAAATGTTTCATTTTAACATTGCAAGTCTAAGGGATTCACTTCCTTTTGGGGCCAGCCTCAAGTGGTACCTAAAGAAACTGCAGTTTTGTTGTGTGTTGGCTTTGTTCATCAGCCTCAGGGGGTTCTCCTTGCTCTAATCACAGCATACACAGCACGCTGAAGTCAAACTGGAGCTACCCTTTACCAAGAGCTAATAATAGCATTAGCAATTCATTTAAAAATCAAAAAAGACAAATGAAATGGCAAAGAAAGTGGTACATAGTTATTTGGGAAAAGATGAAGATAAGTGGTACCAGGAAAGGTTTAGCATTTGTTTGCTTAAAATAAACAACTGGACTGAAACAAAATGACATTCACTTAACAGCACTATTTTCTTACAATAATGTTTTCACCAGAAACTGAGATGTGAAAAATCTTGTTTCATGTGAGACCACATGGGTTAGAATAAAGTCTTATGAAGTATTTGGGTACCGAGATTTAACTAGGCAATCTTTGTTGTGGTCAAAAACATCTGAGCAGAGGAGCAGCTCAGTAAATAACTTGTGTTCTAGTTCCAGCTGACAAGCACACATGCTGTCAGGACTGTCGAATACTTGAGCTCAGTATTTGCAGTGAAAGAGTTTGCACAGCAAAAGCAGAAAGTTTACGATTTTTGACTTGTTTTCCCATATGACACGGACCAGATGTTTGACAGCCACTTGAACTTTTCTCTGCAGGTTAAACTTTCAGTTCTGTCCATCCTCCAAGGTTCATGGTTTCTCTGCAGTGGATCTCAAACCAAATGGAGACGATGAGGTAAAAATGCCTCAGAGCAAGCTTCTTATGTGGATGGAAATATCTTCACGTAAATTTGCACATTTTACAAGAGTTCACTGAGTGTTTACTATGTGTATAGATGGTGTCCATGGAGAATGCAGAAGAGTACGTGGAGTTGATGTTTGACTTCTGTATGCACACTGGCATCCAGAAACAGATGGAGGCCTTCAGAGGTAAATGTGCAAAACTGGCACATTACTTCTCTACAGTGTCCTGTCTGTGGAGAAATCTGTTTTGCCCTCTTTGCTAGTTTTTCAGAAAAAAAAACAAAAAACACAAAATAAAATGGTTTCCTGTTTAAACGAGGAAAGAGGTGGACAACATAAAGCAAGAAAGTAGTGCTCTGTGTTCACAGGCAGTTGTTTTAATGCTGGGAACGCCCTTGACCTAATTGGACTTGGTCTTGGTAAAGTTTGAGCTTTACCGAGGCCGACAGGAGGAGATGCTATTGGCAACAACATGAAATTTTGAAAAATACACAGCTGCCAGTCTATTCTCACACCTGTTTCTAACCTGAGCTCCTTACTTTTTTTTTTTTTTCCCTAAAGATTGACTCTCATTTTAGACCCTTATGTTCTCTCGACTCATTGTCACAATAGAATTGATTCCATTGCGACAAGAAACTTTTTTGGTTCCCTTTCCCTGGCAGTTTAGTAAATTTGTGATTATTTCTAAAATCGAGTGAATACTTGGGTATCTAATATCATAAATGTTTCCTCTCCTCCTCAGAGGGTTTTAATCGAGTGTTTCCAATGGAGAAACTAAGCTCTTTTAGCCATAAGGAGGTGCAGATGATCCTCTGTGGCAACCAGTCCCCTTCCTGGACTGCTGACGACATCATCAACTACACAGAACCAAAGCTTGGTTACACCAGAGACAGGTATGACATGTTACATCAACACTAATGGAAACACCAAAAGTTGATTCTGTTCATCTGGACGGAGCGTCATGGTAACGCTATGTCCAGATGAACAGAATCAACTTTTGGAGATTTACTTTCCTGGATGATTGAGAATGCTAATGGAGACACTGAGCCACGGCATCGTGTATTTAACCTCTCCTCTTCCTTCAGCCCTGGCTTCTTGCGGTTTGTGCGAGTCTTATGTGGAATGTCATCTGATGAGCGTAAAGCCTTCCTGCAGTTTACCACTGGCTGCTCCACCCTGCCACCTGGTGGTCTTGCCAACCTTCACCCCCGACTCACCATCGTCAGGAAGGTAAACTGGCTCTCTGAATGACTGAGTTTGTTAATGTGTGTAGTTTTAGTCAGTAAGCTGACTGACTGTTGCCTCCGTAGGTGGATGCCACAGACTCCAGCTACCCATCTGTCAACACTTGTGTTCACTACCTGAAGCTGCCCGAGTACTCATCTGAGGACATCATGAGGGAGCGCCTGTTAGCCGCTACCATGGAGAAAGGCTTCCACCTCAACTGACCACCGCTGCCACACTGAGCATGCTTCTCAAGTCATCTGTCCGTCTCGCCTTGTGACTGACGGATCAGCCAGCCAATCCAAACCAGCTGACTGACTGACGGCCGGACCTCCTGCTACAGGAGGAGGAGGATTTATGTTGCAGAAACAAAATGAAAGAAACGCTGTCACATCTTTCACACCTCTCTGACCGCCTCCTTCATCATCAGCAGCAGCATCCTCTTCCTCACCATCCTGAGCTGCTGCTGCTGGTCTGTTCCCAGCTTTGATGCTGCAGGCTTACGTGTGTGTGTGTGTGTGCGCGCGCGTGTGTGTGCGTGTGTGTGCGCGTGTGTGTGTGCGCGCGTGTGTGTGTGCTGATCTCCTCCTCCTGTCTGCTCTCAGTTTGGTGCCTGGTTTGACTCGTAGCTTCTGTTTTCACTTCCTCCTCCCTGAAATGTTCATGGATCCCCACCTCCCCCCATTTATTGCTTTTTGTTTTTGTGTGTGTGCGACAGTTCTCTGGTTGTTACTGACCAGTTGTAAAGGTCAAAGGTCAGAGAGCCTTTGGTGTTTGTTTTACAATGAAGCTATAGAGACAAAAACACTGGCTGTGTGCAAGGCACATCTAAAGAGAAAGATTAAAATAAAAAAAAGAAAGCTCTGCTATCCCTGTATTTTCTTTGTATATTATAAACATTTATTTAACTCAAGTTGCAATTTGAGGTAAACAGATATTTTCAAATGTGTATGCTCCAAAAAAAATAATCATTAAAATGTTTGCAAAGTATGAAGTAAAGAATGAGTCTTGTGGTCTGTGGAAGAATATGAATCTTTGATTTTTTTTTTTTTCCCATTTCGTTTGCACGTTTAAGTGTTTCAGTATTACAACCGCACTTCAACCAACATGAGGCTGAAGCAGATTTATCATCTACAGCAGTCCAGTTGCTGAGAATCACCGCGTAGAGATGTAATTGATTTAGATATTTATCTTGTAGCCTTTTTCTAAAAATTTTTTGCAAACTTATCATACAGATGTTTCAGTATTGAGGATATATTTTAAAAAAATGAACTAGAGTTATAGAATTTTTTTTTTTTTTTTATTGTTTTATTACATATTAGACATAATACCACCAAATGTCTTTACGTTTTGGTTTGTTACAAACAATTCCTGTGGTCTGCCAATACCCCGAAAGGCAAATTAAAAATAAAAAAATAAAATGTAATTCATTCCCCGCTAAATTCACACAACCGGTTTTCTTCCTGAATAAATTCAAACTGGCCAACTTCAGAGGGAGGCTTCCTTCTCTCAGCTGTGCAGATCGAACATCTGGATACACTGTACAGATGTGTATTAATATACTGACCAGAGTACATGTGGGCACTGAGTTCTTTTTATTATTTTAACATCAGTACCTTTAAGCAGATTCTAAATTCAGACTGTAAGCTGCAGGCCAGTCCTCAGCCTGAAGAACAGTCCGTGACTTCCTTTCTTTTTGTTAGCTGTCCACCATCTTGTCAATAGTGGTGAGGGGTGCGAGGATGCGGCTCTTGTTTGTTTCCACAATGTGTCCGTTCTGGATCATCTCATCCAGGATGATATGAACTCGATCCAGATTGAACATTATCTGATAAAGGCGAAGGGTCAAGGAAACAAGGAAATAAAGAAAGACAAAGACTCCTACTGAACAACTAGTGATGGGTAATTTTTACATGAATATTTGACCTCAGCTCTAAATCTATTGTGTGTCTCCAGGTTATTTTATTTTTGCCATTCTCTGTCCTTGTCAATGGTCACTGTCCTTCAGCTGACTATACAATGTATATGAAGTAGCTTTTAAATAATAATATTATTTATTATTATTATTTGAAATTAGTTAACACGCAATTAAAAATTACTAAGCTTTGGTAAAATATACACTGTGCTTTTAGCATGACTCTTATACATGCAGTGTGTGCAGCTGTGGTTGTGTTACAGGATACATCCAGTTCACTCTGTAGGGAGAAATGCACATTAGACTGAAACATTCAAACAGCTGCAGCTTCATGCATTTCAACAGTGTCTTCATTTGTTGTTACAGACATCTCAAAAAGTGTACAATATATGTTTGAAACTGTAATCATTACTTTTAATGCTTGTAAGACTCGTGTCAAGCCAGCCTCCAATTCGAGACTTGCAGTCAAGCTAGCCTCGTGTTTGTTTTCTGTTCCCTGTGTATTCAGAGATGTGGAAACCTGACTTCAAAATAAAAGCCAACTTCGAGTAAATTAACAGATATGTTAAGAACATAATAACATATAATTTAGTCTTGTTTACACACTCTAATGTTAGATCCACATGACACAACCTTGTACCCTAGTAGCACCCTGTCAATATCAAGGCCATCTTATTTTGGATTTCAAAGTAAAAGCCCTGTGAATTTTCATTTTTGAACTGCTCTTTCAAATAGAGTAGAATAGAATAAAGTTTTATTATCCCAGGGATGCTCCATAAATCACCCCTCCAATAGCCAAACCCACCTGTTCTCTGATTGGATAGTTAAATTTGTGATTAACATGACATTGGCCAATCAGATGAAAGGAAGAAAAACCGGGTCAAAATTCGTACTTGTAACTTGAGTGCCGAGTTTCACGAATCCTAATTTACAAGTACAAAATATTTATGACCACAATTGGCGCCCATATTTATACACCCTCACAATGGTATCGTGTGTGGGAGTCAGGGTTTTAATAGTTTTGCAATTTTCATTAGTTTTTATTTTTATTTAGTTTTGACTTCAAATTTTCAATTTTATATCAGTTTTAAGTAGTTTTTACCAATTGTTTGCTAGTTTAGTTTAGTTTTTATTTTTTTGAAAATCCTTAGTTTCAGTTTAGTTTTGATTAGTTTCAGTTATAGTTTTAGTTGTGTTTGCAATAATTAAGTGTAACAAAATCCCAGTTTCATCATATCAGTCATTCTCTTCTGCTTATCCTTGGGTATGTTGCTATTCCAGCTACCATACCCTGCACCCTGGACGGGTCGCAATGACCTTGTAGTACCATATCACCCTATTAGAGCACTTCGCTCTCACACTGCAGGCCTACTTGTTGTTCCTAGAGTATTTAAAAGTAGAATGGGAGGCAGAGCCTTCAGTTTTCAGGCCCCTCTTCTGTGGAACCAGCTTCCAGTTTGGATTCAGGAGACAGACACTATCTCTACTTTCAAGATTAGGCTTAAAACTTTCCTTTTTGCTAAAGCATATAGTTAGGGCTGGACCAGGTGACCCTGAATCCTCCCTTAGTTATGCTGCAATAGACATAGGCTGCCGGGGATTCCCATGATGCATTGAGTTTTTCCTTTCCAGTCACCTTTCTCACTCACTATGTGTTAACAGACCTCTCTGCATTGAATCATATCTGTTATTAACCTCTGTCTCTCTTCCACAGCATGTCTTTTATCCTGTCTTCCTTCTCTCACCCCAACCGGTCGCAGCAGATGGCCCCGCCCCTCCCTGAGCCTGGTTCTGCCGGAGGTTTCTTCCTGTTAAAAGGGAGTTTTTCCTTCCCACTGTCGCCAAAGTGCTTGCTCATAGGGGGTCATATGATTGTTGGGTTTTTCTCTGTATCTATGAAGCGCCTTGAGGCGACTTTTGTTGTGATTTGGCGATATATAAATAAAATTGAATTGAATTGAAAATTGAACTTTTGACAGAGTAGGATAGACATTATCAAATGAGGAGAAGGAATTTTCTGGGATTGAAGATCCTCTGGATGAGTGGCTAAAAGCTATCATTTTGTCATTGATTGGTAATTGATTGATAACTGGCCACATTCACAGCTGTATTGACTTGTTGTGGATGTTGTCTATCCCATGTTTGAGGACTCCAATTAACAGATTGAAAACAGCAACACTAAGGGAAGAACATGCAGTGCAACCCTATCAGTTGCCAGTGTCGGTTGGGCTCTGTGATGAATCAGGTGAGCTGGCTTCATGGCTGAACCAAGACATAAATTGCCCCCAGGTGTTTAGAGGTAGGAAAGGCAAAATGTATATTGCAATTTTGTGTTTAAGCTTTAATGATCAAAAGAAACTGAATCGTGTTTAGAAGATAAGATGCCTGTGTTCGTTTAATGCGTTCCCATGAGGAGGCCGGCTGACGGTCTGGAAGACCCAGTATCTGACCGACTGAATGGGGACGACAGCTGATTTAGCGCTGACTCGACCACAGGACACCATCCCAGTTAAGAGGGAAAAGCTGAAAGGCTGAGTATCACTCTGGAGGGAACCTGTGGGACAGCAGGCTGAACGAAACATGTTTTTTGTTCACACATTAAAACGTGTGAAAGGAGGGAATGTTGGGATTGAAAATGTTTGATTTCTATTACTAAAATAAGCGGTTATAATCATTTTCATACACACATTGCAAATGTGCCCAATAATAAGTTGGCACTAAGTCTTTTGAATTTCAAAAGCTTCGTTCGACGTGACTGTCCGGACTGATATATTGGTGCAGAGGGATAACTGCAAACATGCTTACACACATAGATTATGATTAGAATAAGTCTGGGTCAGAGAGTGCCGAACATGATATTCTAAACCAACTTTGAATCACTAGAAGAACAATGGATAATACCATTAGATTATCAAGGCTAGGCAGAGAGGTGTTTTGCTTTTCTGTCTCTTACAGACGAGGGAGCAGATACCAGACGAGGTCACGGAAATACGAGGATGACACCAAGACTGCCACGTCTGTGCGGGAGGAAGATAGCTCCTTTAATCTATGTTTTTGTCTTACTATATAATGTTGTACAGCACACTTGAGGGTCATCCTTTTTGTGAAACATGCTGCTGGTTCACATAGATGTCCACAGCGCTGTGTAAACTTGTAATTTCAACTGCCAAAAGCAAAGTAAATCCTTTTTTAAAAGACAAACCTTTCTCCTGAGATTCCTTCCAAAAATTGTGAACATGACAACTGTCAATATAGAGTGACATTAACTTGTGGAAACAGCAACTTTGCTTTTAAGAGTGTTCTGAAGTCAGTGAAAGAGTGGGTCATATATGGGCAATTTCAACGGGCCATTACTTTGAAAGGCAAAATCAAGGTGACTTGAAATTGACTTGGTATCCCCGTGAGAGTGTACACTGTTGATCTAGAATGAAATTATCCTGTGGAAACAGCAATTTTCATTTTAAGAGCATTCTGAAGAAATTGAAAGAGTATATCATATATGGGGAAATTCAAAGGGCCCATTAATTTAAAAGGCAAAATCAGAGCAACTTGAAATTGGCATGGTTTTACTGTGGGGTTGGACACTGTCGATTTAAGGTGAAAAATTATCCTGTGAAAACAGGAATTTTCCTATTTAGAGCATTTTGAAATCATTGAAAGTTAAGTCATATATGGGCAATTTGAAATGGCTTTTATTTTGGAAGGCAAAACTCAGACTGACTTGATATTGACATGGTATTCCTGTGAGGTTGTATACTGTTGATATAAAGTGCAACTAGTCTTTGGAAATATGAGTTTTGCTTTTAAGAGCATTCTGAAATAATTGAACTGATCACTGACTTCGTCAGCTGGTGCGAACAGAACCATCTTCGCATCAATGCCAGCAAGAGGAAGGAGCTGGTGATTGACTTCAGCAAGAAGCCACCCACTATTACACCAGTGAACATCCAGGGTTTGGACATTGAAATGGTGGAGTAGTACAAATACCTGGGTGTTCACCTCAATAACAAACTGGATTGGTCCACAAACACAGATGCACTTTACAAGAAGGGTCTAAGTCGTCTCCACCTGCTACGGCGGCTGAGATCCTTCGGGGTGAACAGGACACTTCTAAGGACGTTTTACGACACTGTGGTGGCGTCTGCTATCTTTTATGCTGTGGTCTGCTGGAGTGGCGGAATGGCAGAGAGGGACAGGGAGAAACTCAAACTGGTCAGGAGTGCCAGCTCTGTCCTGGACTGTCCGCTGAAGTCCATCGAGCAGGTTGGGGAGGAGAGGATGTTGTCTAAGCTAACATCCATCATGGACAACATCTCCCACCCCCTGCATGAGACTGTACGAGCACTGAGCAGCTCGTTCAGCAGTAGACTTACGCCCACAGTGTAGGAAGGAGCGCTACCGCAGGTCATTCTTACCAGCAGCTGTCAGACTCTATAATGCAACTTAACATTCTTTTGGTCATCTTACTCACCAGCTTGTTTACTGTACATTTTATACATATCTCTGTACAATTTTCCAATTTTTCTATACACATTCTGTACACTGTTATCTGTATATACCTGTATATACGAACTTCGGTTGCTTATGTTTATAGGACCACATTGTGTCTTCCTTTTACATTTTATTTTCCCTTGCTGCAAGAGCTCTGTAACGCCGAAATTTCTCATCCGTGGGATAATAAAGCTTTATTTTATTCTAGTCTACTCTATTGAAAGAGTAGTTCAAAAATGAAAATTCACAGGGCTTTTACTTTGGAATCCAAAATAAGATGGCCTTGATATTGACAGGGCGCTACTAGGATACAGGGTTGTGTCATGTGGATCTAACATTAGAGTGTGTAAACAAGACTAAATTATATGTTATTATGTTCTTAACATATCTGTTAATTCACTCGAAGTTGGCTTATATTTTGAAGTCAGGTTTCTACATCTCTTCCCGTAATACTTTGAACACACAGGGAACAGAAAACAAACTGGAGGCTGGCTTGACGCCAGTTTTGAGACCTGCCTTAGACCTGCACTGATAATGGATCCAATGGTTTTCACCCCTCAGCAGTATAGCTCGAGAATGAAGTGAGGTAAAATTTACCAATTCAAAAGGTGCATCTACAAAATAGCTAGTCATTGTGACTTTGACCTCAAGTTCTGAGGCTTTTTAGGATTTTCACATTTCTACCACAGATGCATCTACTAGGATGCTGAGGTGTAGCACTGGCGGCTACCAGTATTTATCTCTGTAAGAACCTCGATCAAACTGAACTCACCACCCGGCTGAAGTATTTATCCAAGACCTCCACAAAGTTATGAACCAGCTCGTAGATGGACAGCTCATTCTGTGAGAGTAAAGAGGAGAAACACGTCCTGTTGACCATTGAAAGGACGAAAGAGGTGTAAAATACCTCCGATCACACTCACCTCACTGTCTGTGATGCCCACCACGATATACAGAGCAGCATACTGGCGGTAAACCAATTTAAAGTCTTTGTACTCCACAAAGGAACACTGCAAACAGAGAGGGGTTATAAACATGATATTGTTATGTTATTTATTTGATCTAAACAAGACTGGGAACTCGCAGACAGACACCTGATCTTTCTTGCGGCTCAGGCAGTAGCGTACTACATCGGCCTCAAGAGCTGCTCTTCTGCTCAGCTCCACAGAGTGATAATACCTGGACAGCCTGGTCTGACCCTGTCGGTTCACCATTAGCACGAACTTGATCATTATCCGATCGGTTGCTGGCTGCAGAGGAATCGTAAAGTCGATATTATCAGTACAGACCATTGCCCCGTGGTATGAGATATTGCAATCTAATACCTCACTCCATACCTGAACGTTTGTTTTACTTACCGCCAGCTGTTAGCTTGTGCCAGTTGCTACATTAACTCCATCAAACGGGCTAAAACGGGAACTTCTGTTAACGAGTTTTTGCCCCAATCTAATGTTATTTTAAACACAATGCTGTCGGTTTACAGGATTAAAGTAAGATTACTGTAAAGTACTGTAAGGGTAAATAAATACCAGCGAAAGAGGACATTCAACAATATACAGCCATAGCATTTGGTACGCATGCGTAGACAGGTGCATTCCAGGGTAACAGTTATTCCCTACATTTGAACGCAAGTACTTTCTACTTATACTTTCAAAACATGCTCGTAATATAAGCTTTAAGACATTTGAGGGAGTAATTATTCCACGCAAACAATCCAAAAGAAAATCCCATTAACGTTTGCATTTTTCTTCTTTGAAAGATGCATAATACATAATTTGTACATAATTTATTGTACTGTACTCACGGTTTAAAAATGCTCGTTACGATCCTGGACGGGGTTTTAGTGGTTGTGGTACTTAAAATGAGCAATAGACAATAACCACAATGTATCTGCTAGCTAAAGGTAAAACTGCTGTATTTCCCTATACATCTTAATATATGCTCCGTTAAAGAGTTATATTTTACTACCCTTTCTTTTAGCAGTGAAGGTTCCATAATATAGTTGGATAGCAGGAAGGGAAAAGGAGGATGGATGTGTCCCGTCAGGCATTGCGGCTGGGTTCTCCCACCTTGACCATCGGATCCGAGAGAGGTCGGGGGAGAGAACAGCAATGGCGGCCGGTTAGCTCTATACAAAACACCAAGTCCCCAATCAGCCGCGCGCACCACATCGCTCCGAGGAAAGCCAGTTTTACACAACACGGCGGAGCCAGCGAGACAGGGACGGAGCTGAGACACGGGCTTTAGGGGGCGGGGATCCCTCCGCGGATCGTTGCTGCCTGTGGAGACTTTCCTTCTACTTAAAAAAAAAAAAAAATTATGGACGAACACCCCGGCGGAGGAGGGGTCGGAACGAGTGCCCCACGACAGCCTCCGCCACCGCAGCAGCAGGGGAATAACAGTAGTGCTAATCCGCCAATTGGAGGCGGTGGTGGCGGAGCAGTCATGGTACCACACCAGCCCGATGAGCTACCTCGGCCGCAGCAGCAGTACACAATCCCCGGCATCCTGCACTACATCCAGCATGAGTGGGCCCGGTTCGAGATGGAGAGGGCGCACTGGGAAGTGGAGAGGGCCGAGCTTCAGGTTAGCCCTCCCAACTTAGCACTGAATTCCAACCATGCTAACCCCCAACAACAACAACATGGACAGTGTGTAGACAATTGGTTTTAGAGAGGTAGTGGCAGTGTTGCAATATTTAATTTATTATTTCATCGATTAGTTAGGCATGGCCTTGGTTTAAACGGGAGGCAAAAGCAGCTAAACTCGATATTTGTAACCCGACTGGCTAAGTGGCTAAGCTAAAGGGTCAGCTCTGGGTTACCGTTAGCTCGACTAGTGGTAGCGCTTAGCTTCAGTCGGTGTCAGACAAATTTAGCAGGTAGCCGAAGCTGTTGTTGTCGTTCTCCTCTGTTAGCTGATTTGTTCATATGAAGCTAAAACGTTCCCACTGTGGCTACTGAGTTCAGGCGCTAGCTGGTAATAGAGAAGTGAATCCAACCGACTGTCAGCTATCTAATCTCAGTCATTTTGGTTTGTCACGCTAGCTGTTAGCAGTGTTAGTCGCTAATGTTGCTTTTGAGTCAACAGCTGGGCCCGAGCGACTGTGATTCACAGCACATAAGGAAAAGAAATGAAATTGGAGGAAAACTACGTAACCATTTAAAAGTTATTCTTTTCAGTATGAATGATGAAATAAACTCAGTAGTTAACTTACTAAGTTAGTATTGAAAGATAAAAAATTTGCGACATCAAAATATTATAAACATGAGATACAAAATAAAAAAACAAAATGTTCAAGCCCGTATATTAGTCATATCTTACTGTCATATTTGCTAAAAAAAAAAATAAAAATCAAATTTATAAATTAAATTTAAATTTAAGAATAAAAACACTTGAATTTTAAAATCATAAGATAAAAGGCAGGCCTTAACTATCAGCGTTACAATTGTAAGTTAGGAGGGTAAGACAATCAGATAAAAGGTCAAAGCTTTTAGCAGGCATGATAAAATGAGAGCATTTCTAGTTTTTCACAGTCTCAGGTGGTAGAAGTACTTTCACCTCAGTAAATGGGCTGCCCATGCACTTAAGATGATAAAATGTAATCACCTATTGAATGTGGCATGTACTAATATGATAATCAGTGGCATTAAGTAACAAAACAAAGACATTTTTAAACCATGTAGATTTATTTAAATCCACACCAGTGTAGAGTGCCTTTGGTTTCCTTGTAAAAAGAATAGTGTCTTTGTTTTGTAATAAACAAGGCTAATTCATTGACATATAAATGAGTTATTATCAAATCTTTTATCTGTTTTGAAAGGTATCCATGTAAGATCAGTTTAGTGTTACATAGACTTGGACTAACTAATAGTTTCTTGAAGCTATTTATGACCACTGTTTAGAGTGTATTCACCATGAGGCCATCAAATAGGGTTATGGCAGAACCATTCTATGTATTTATTTGAACAATAGTATTTGCTTTTATAAGTTTCCTGCTACTTGTATAGTTCCTGCTTTAAGAAAATGTTTTAATTCACACAATTATTAAATACATAGAAAATGTATGTAATTTAATACTGCTCTGTATGTGTCTCCAATGGTGTAATGGTAAGAGAAAGGGCACAGGTTTGATTTTAGCCGGCAACATAAATCCTCTTTTGGGTTGGGTCAGGAAGAACATCTGACATCAAACGTGGAGCTACCCGCTGTGGCAACTCTTTGTATCAAGCCTTTGTGACAGGAAAGCAGTCGAAAGTAGATTTTTTACATACATTGTTCTATATAAAGCTCTAATACAGGTCGGAATCACCAGACACCCCACGATACAATATTATCACAATACCTCAGTGATGATATGATGATATTGCAATTTTGAACATTTTGTTTGGGATATACTGAGTATTGCCATAACATATATTATGATTTGTGACCTTTTTTGACTGCAAATAATTTCCTCAAAGTTGAACTTTGTTAGTATTTGTTTTTATCCAGTAAAATAAAGTTGTCTCACTTGAGTTATTTATTTATTTATTTATTTATTTATTCATTTATTTATTTATTTGCTGCAAAATGAGAACGTCAATAGCAACACCTGGTATAATTGTTGCTATAAGATGGATTCAGTCTGCTGTCAGTCTGGAATTGAATGGGGACAGGTTGGCAATTACATCTACTGTTTCTGATAATACAGCAGTAAACTGTGATAAATCATTGAAAATCACACCTGTTGCTGTCTACACAGACAGAAATTCATATTTAAATATTACATTTGCGCTCGATAACCTTCCTGTTCTTTTGGAATGTAACCAGAATACAACTAGCTGGCAGCCAGTTGAGTTGAGTTGAGTCGAACTGTGTTCACTGGTAAGGACTCGTTCAGACTCATGGCAACATGTTGGCAATCTGTCTACATTTATAAACTAAACAGCAGCCATTTGCAAACTTACTGAGAGTGACTGCTGTTAGTCCAAGTAAAACTGTGACCTCTTCTTCATAGTATTCCCAAAATATTTTACTTTTATTTAATAAAATACTGATTTTGTCCCTATATCAATATAACCTTGCAATGCAGAATATCACATTACTGTCCTGTATCAATTCTTTCCTCATCCCCAGTAATGTTTAACCTTAAAAATGTAGAACAGTTCAAATAATATGTGATACTTAAAAGTAAAAACCATTCATTGAATAGATGGGTTTTTTTTGTTTGTTTTAAAGTTATAAATAGTTATTACTAAGTACAGCAGAAAGCAGATCTCTCACAGTCAGGCTGCTACAAATCACGCCCATCCAGTTGCAGCTGTGTCACCAAGCCTGTGTTATTTTAAAAAAGCTACCTTAGTTTATGTAATGGTGGACGCTTTTGTGTCTATATCTGTGAAATACCTCTGGGTTTGACCGATTGCCTTGTACTTTGGGACCAGTTAATTAAAAGCCACCATCAATCAAATTTATCACCACTGACCGTCATTGTTTCTTGCAGGCAAGCTCGGAATTGGACTTTGTTCTGTTCTTGTTATTTGTTGAGTTGGTATGTTTATCAGTACCCGAGCGCTCTCCTCGTCCCATTGGCAAAGAGTCAAACTTGTATTGCAGCGTCACTGATGCTGGATGCCTTAAGCGTGACTGTCAGAGCTCCTGATAAGAGTGGATACCAGCTGCTGATAAAGCTTGAGCGGAACAAATAAGTGGAGGTGTGAACTTGGCGTGCAGGAGAAGGGGCCAGTGAGGAATTATTGGACGCTGGTTTATTAATACAAACTGTCAATGAATGAATGTGAGTTAGTATAACCCACAGTCTATGAACTCACAGTGAAAAGAATGAAATGGTGTAGACAGGAGACAAATGTAAAGGAACAAGCGGTAAAGTGTCTCAGTAAGGTGTTAGCCTCACAAGTGAACATCACCAGAACATCTTCAGACATTTTTGATCCTCAAAGATGTCTTGTCTTGATTTGGAGTGAGGCTTGCATGGTCCCAAAACATACCAACGGAATGCCTCCCACAGCAAAATCAGAGCTCAGCCCAAATGGCTGAGATTTCATTCATAGTTTCTCCCTGTTCGTATGAATTTGTATGATTAGATGTGGTTGTTTTGAAGTTACTTGTAAGAAGATTAGATTTTAGCCACATTTTTTGTTGTTGTTGTTGTTTTTTTAATTTTCTTATTCTCTCATCCAAGCCCGTGTAGGGATGAACTAGGGGTGCAACGATACACAAAATTCACGGTTCGGTTCGGTTCGATACTTTGGTGTCACGGTTCGATATTTTTTTCGATACAAAAAAAAATGTTCATGCCTTTTTAATTTTTCATTTATTAAAATTATAAATTTATATTTTAACTCAAAAGTACAGTTTTTAAATTTAACCCTAACCCTTGTGCGTGTTTTTTATTTTGACAGCGAATGCGCACCTGCGGACCACTTATGTGCAGCCCTGCTTATATAGTTCGTCATATTGCAGCCACAGAAATTATTTTGTCCATGAAACCATAAAGCTGCACTTTCTTTTTGCCTTATAGTCTGATTTGTCATAACTTCTCCGTTTTGTGGTAAGCTTTTCTTTGGCTGTCACTTCTTCACCCTGACCTGTCTTATTTGGCTCAGCAGAACTAAAATATATATATCCTGCTGCTTTTACACACGCACTCACATAAGCTCAGCGATTCTCTGCGCAATCAACCTCTCACATGTTTAAGCTTGCTGTGGGAGATTTCACTTGTCATGTTTGCATAGTAAGCTAACGATTAATAAGACGATGTCAGAGGAATTGGTGCACAAATTATCATCACTCACAGATCAGTGCTGTCGCTCTCTATACACAGTTCGCACGATTGCAAAGTGAAAGCAAAAAAACAAGCGCAAATTCAAACGCAATTTCAATATGTCACATATTGACAGTGGCTCACAGATGCCAATGACATAATTACCCAGCTACATTTCTGAAAGAATGCAAAAGCATTGACATATATTTTTCCTTCCTACAAAAGCCCGACGGGCAGGGAAGAGATAGATTTTGGTAGCCCGACTGAAAAAAATCGCTAGCTCCAGGACGTCGGGCTAGCGATATTGCAAGCCCTGTATCTGATTGAGGAATCACTCATCTTTGGAAAAGAGAGTTTATTACAGAGAAATGTCTCTTTCCAAAATAAAAGCTATACTATCCGCTTCTTCTGGGCTATATTCTCAGCAGCATAAGGAGAATCATGTGCTAACAGCTGTCTAAATGACTCGGCTAAAGTTAGTAGCATGCTTGTTGTTTTGGTCTTTGCACTAGGATGATGTCGGCGTAAATGTGCAGTCATATTCGTTGTGTTCCCACTAGTGCTTTCAGGTTAATCTCGTTGAAATGACCTTAACGCCACAACACGGCAAATCTCCGTTAACGAGCTACCGCCGATCGCCCCGTGCATGGGGCTAGACAGCCAACACGTTAACGAGCTAACTGCGCTAACACACTAGCTCCCACCCATGTAATTGAGCATTGCATGGCACATCCAACATACTGTTTTACTTTAGTCCATGACTCGCTTACCTTCAGGGTCATACGTCACATGAAAACCAAAATAATTCCAAACGCCAGAT